TGTTTGTTGCTGCTGAACCAGAACATATTGAATTCCTGAAGATAGCCAGAGGGAACTTGGTTTGATTTGTTTGTTCAACGGCATATCAACACCTTATGGGTGATTTAATGCCAAAATTCAATTTTCATGGGAGCTTTGAAATAATAAAAATATGATATATGTTATTCTGCTTTCACAATTGAATACCTGGTAGATGATACTCAGCTTTTGTACATGTTGATGTGGACATCATTACTAGAGGCAGTGGTATGTGTGTTTTATGCTGTAGCTTTGTTGAAGTTATATTTTGGAATACAGTTTGATTTCTTTAAGAAATTTTAGGTTATTATATGGATTAATGTCATAAAAGTGTTCTCTCATGTTGATTAATGTATTGTTGGTAATTTTTTTTATATAAAAATGTATTGTTTGTATTTTTATTATAGAAATGTATATTTATGCTTTTATAGGCTTTTGTTTTTGTTGGAGGGGGGTTAACTATTTGCGCATAGCTGAGACCCTAACAGCTGCTACTACTCAAATAGTAGACCTGGGAGCAACAGCAATTAAGAGTTGGTTCAATGCTCCTCAAAACCTCTAATCTCCTGATCAGAGGCCTTGCTGCCAGATGTAGTTTATTTTCAGGGGTACTTGGCCGAAATTTTGTCTGTAATAAAATCTATAGCAATCAAAGATGGGAACCATCACTTAAATGAATCAAATAAGTTAAAGTATATTGGAAAATTTGCATCTTAAAAATCAGAAATGAAATTATCAAAGAAAGCTGTACTAAATGAACCACAGTGATAACAAAATATGAAAATCATCTGATATTGGATCTGAAGGTGCCTAGAAATCTACCGCCAATGTGTTCAATCCCCAGATCAGGTCGTGAAATAATATATTCTCTGGTTCAGCAGAAATGAACAAGAAACAGTATCACAAAGACAAAATTAAGACAATAATCAACACATAGAAGATATCCTTATAAGTCAAAATAATAGACAGCTGGTGATGACTGGAAATATTAATAAAAATTTCAGGTCTTCCATATATGTATATATAAGCAGTTATTTTATGAAAAGTTACCATGTGATAAAAATTCAAAAGACAAACTAAAAAAATGTTTTAAATGATATTGTTAAAAACATTCTTAAAACTCTGGATATTGATGCTGAATTCTAGGAAACATTGGGAGAAGATCAATCTGTATGGAGGAAAATGTTAAATGATGGTTTTAATTGTTCAAGGAAAATAAGATCAATCATAATTTTCAGATAGAACAGACATGTCACACTTGTGGTAGGATTTTCATATCTAAAGCTGAATAGCTAACCATCTAAGATCTCAACACAAGTAGATTTTATTTACAGCCATCCACAACAACTTACAGGGAAATTGTTACTTTTGTGACACTGTATGTGGGTCAGCAGCAGGTTTGAAGAGTTACATTAGAGTACATAAGGACTAGATAAGCTCAAAGACCATACACCAATTTTTCCTCCAACTTATATGCAGGAATGCCCACAGAAGTAGGACTTATGAGTTTATGTTCAATCTAAAATTGAGCAGATAGCCTTTCCTAAGAAGTGGTATACTACTTCTACTATCTATCTATATATATATATATATATATATATATATGTGTGTGTGTGTGTATGCAAACATATATGCATATAGGATAGGGAATGCTAATTTTAATTTTTTCTTTTTTTTTTTAAAAAAAGTTTTTGTGTATATAATCCATCCAATTTCATTTAATTTCTTTTTCTTCATATTTTTATCACTTTTGTTATTAAATATATTTTATATTACTTACTTAAAAAAAAATTAAATTAAATATTTCAGCATCTCCTTTCCTTCATGCATATGAAGTCCTAAAGGATAAAATGCATCACATGAAAAAACTTTATCCACTTTGTCATAGATTTTCCAAAAAATTGTTTTGATATATAAAAAATTACATATCATTTTCATATATATATATATATATATATATATATATATATATATATATATATATATATATATATATGATAAAATGTAGTTTTAAGGTATGCTATATTTATGGATTAAAGCGCTCAATATCAGAGATAGAGCATATGTAAATATAAAGTAGATATTAAATTCAACACCTAGCAGCAACAGTCTTTTTCATGCTTATATGCAATCATCAGGCCTGATGATTACATATAAACATGAAATAGACTGTCACTATGGGGTGTTGATTTCAATATCCACTTTAATATCACTGGGCAAAACTCCATCTTATCTCTTACTTGGAGATATGTCATTATTTAAAGAAAAAGAAATAAAAAAAATGAAGCATTAATTCAAAAGTAAACAAAAAACATAGAATTTTGATTTCTTCTGGCTTGTGAATGTATCAAATCAATTATGATAAAATCCTTTCTTCCTTTACTACTAGCAATAACAACAAACAGAAAAGTCATCATTTTATTTGACTTCTTTAAGGAACTAAAATGTTGTTTTATCCTGGCGATAAATCTGTTCTCATCTGAAAAATCGAACAAAATCCCAAGATTACAAATATGGGATTATAATCGGATTTCTCTTCACTCACATTTTAAAGACCAGAAAAAAGAATTTTTTTTTCCTATGGGGGTTCACAATTACTCAAAGCAATCTATTCAGTTGAGTTAAAATATTAACACTTGAAAAATTCTATCATTTTTTTTATTTGATGGAGCATTGTGAACCATTATTATTTATTTGGATTGGTATTTACTTTCATCTTTCTTTTTTTACTTATTAGAATATATATCAGGCAATACTACCAAGGTTTTATTCCTCCCATGGTGCCCCTCATTTGTGTCCTTGTGTCAAACTAATCAGTTCAAAAGCATGTTTCTGCCATTTCAAACATATCCTATGATTGTTACATGTGTATATTCTTATGTAAAAGATGAAACAAAGTATAAAGTCAATTTTAAAGATCCCATACACCATGATCAGCTGTAATGTTAATAATAACAAAGATGAAGACAATCGTCCTTATAATATATAAAATAAAGAGGAGTTACTTGTCTGTGAGAGTATTTTGAAAGTACAAATCTTGTGTGGGGGTGTCCTTAAGCCTTTGCTTGTCCTATGGCTCACTGGCTCCATGTTATTGATGTGTCCATTATTGAATTTCCTCTGACACTCTTTGTATTAAAGTGTTATTTATAGAGTAAATGTGGCAGCCACCATACAGGGGCTTGTTGAAAAGATGGCATCATCTCTGGGTGCAGATATGGTTCTCACCCCACCAACCAACGAGCATGTGTGCCTATCATGTCATCTCTTGCCAGTATTACTCTTGTTTCCATCATACAGGAAATTTATCAGTTAATCTTCAATGGAGATCCTTATGAACATACATTACAAAGTTACATTCAAAGCATTATATATATATATATATATATATATATATATATATATATATATATATATATATATATATTATAATGTTTACACACATACATAAGCATATACTTGTGGACATACAGACAAATATGTGCATGAACACACACACGCACAAACATACACACTCTGTGTATCTCATATATATATGTGTGTGTATATATATATATATATATATATATACATAAATTTCAGATAGAGTATATCTTTAAAAAAGACAATATGAATAAATGTTATGTATATATACTTATATATTCACTGTGTATATATGTTTACATGTGCATAGACACACATATATTCATATGCTTTCACATATTTACACATATATCTGCATGCACACACATATACACATGTTTTCACATGCACACACACACAGTCTCTGTGTATCTCATATAAATTTCAGATAGAGTATATCTGTAAAAGGACGATATAAATAAAGACAAAAGGAAAACTTATCTTAGCTAACATGTTTCAACTTCTGAGGGACTTTATCAAAGCAAATGTCTTATATATATATATATATATATATATATCAGAACAATAAATATTTGTGTATTTTCTGCATCCTTATCTCAATCTCAGTTGACAAAAAACTCAGAAAAAAATTAATTGCATGTTTGCAAAGATTCATAAATTTGGTGAATATTCATAAAATCTGCTTGTTTTTTATTCTTGTTTGCTTGATATAATTCCTCTATCCTTATAGATGCCCAACTTTACTGATAATATTTATTTATTTACTTATTTTTATATATTAGATGTGTGCAAAGTGTGTGTCAAATATGAATTTTTCCCAAGAAATGCTGGGAAGTTTTACACAAAAATCATTAATACTCATATACTTAGACAGCTCTAACTTTAAAATAGTTCTCCTAAGGATTGAATGTTTTTTATTAGACTAGAAGTAGATGTATTTATATCTCTCTAGCACACACACTCACACACTTGTGTTTGTACAAAGACTGTTAGTTTCATGCCTCAATACAATTTCATGCACTGAGGCTTGAAACTGCTACTCACTATGCAATGTTGATTCCGATATCCATACTGTCAACCTTATGTAAACATTCTTTCTTGTCTTTGATATTGAGCATTTTATCTGAAAAAAATACAGCAAATTTTAAAACAGATTATTAACATATATATTGTACTTATATCAAAAGCTTAAATATTGACATCATTTTTGAAGGTGAGGGTAAACTAGTAAAAAATAAAAAAAATAAATATGAGAAACTAAGGTGTAACTGCAAAATTTGATAACATATACACTAATATTACCTCCATCATGTCTACAACGGACACTTTACAAATTCAGGCTTGATCTTAAGAAGTCAATAAAATAAAAAGATAGTTTTCATCATCTGTCTGAGATTAGAAGAAATGTTCATTTTCTTTTTCAATAATTCCAACTCCTGAATGTCTGTAACAATCAAAGCCACACAAAAAAAGAAGAAAAACATTCATCCAAAGAGAACAGTTAAATGAGGGACATGAAAAATTTGCTCCTTCTGCCAATGGCTGAGTCTAAAGAAAGTTGACTCTTCACATCCATAAACTATGAATCGATGTGTCTTGTATTCAAAGCACAGGCTTGCATGTTTTTATGGCACTTAGATATCTATCTTTCTGATTCTCTTTTTACAAGTGTCTGCATATTCCAGGTGCTCTTCTACTCCCACTCCCCACTTATGTGTTGGTGGATCTTGGTGCAAATGTTGATATTAATATCAACATTTTCTTCACATGTGTGCATGTGTTTATAAAAAGGGAATTGTGTTTGTACATCTTTTATTTATGTAAGTATGCATATGTACTTCAATATAATTCCTTACACAATCACACATTTATCATATGCATACATATGTTTGTACAGTCCACACACATTTTGTCTTTCTCTATATGAATATATAGAGATTTGATTATATGTACAAACTTATCTACATTTTATATATATGGTCTGAAGTGCTGTGCTTATCTGTCTATATTTCTGAGATGAGGTATTATGTACACTATTTACATTATTCGGACTATTGTCCTCATCTTTATTGCCATATTTATTACAATGTTTCGGCCGTTGTATGCTCTGACCTTCTTCAGTTGGATGTCGAACTGAACCCTTTATTTCGTTCACTGGAGTAGACTGTTCTAATTCCATGTGCCATGTCTAATGGATGTCAGTCTACCCAATAAGTGAAATAAAGGGTTCAGTTCGACATTCCAACCACCTGAAGAAGGCAGGAGCGTACAATGGCCAAAACATTGTAATAAATATGGCAACAAAAATGAGGACAGTAGTTCAAATAATGTAAATAGTGTGCTGTGGTTAATACACCCATGTCCAAATGGCCTGAAATCAGAGTGGTTCATGGATCTGTGACATGTCTCAGATTTGTCTCTGTTTGAGTGGCAAAGATGGTTTGCTGTCTTTCCCTTGATTTTGAAGCATGGAAAAGTCATCCCAGACAAAGATCTTCAAGTTTTGTTTTCAAATTATGTAACCCCACAGTTGGCTTGCAGCAGAATGCATTCTCGTTGAACTTTCTACCCATCAAATTTCCCCACTCAAAATGACCATATATCAGAAATTTGTTGGAAAATAGCATTTTGACTGGGCTGAAAACTTTGTACTCACTCACACACACACACACACACACACACACACATATATGTGAGAGAGAGACACACACACACACACACACTAGATGGATATAGAGATATCTCTTTCCCTTTGATACTTTCTCCACACATGCACACACACATATTTGTTTTAACATATATTTCAATAGAAATTTGAATTTTATATATATATATATATATATATACATACACACACACTTATTTTTAATTTATATATTTTAATTTATATATATATAAAGATGTATGGACATGAGTTTGGAACCCTGGGTTTTACACTTTTATGGTCATCAAACTGGATTATTTTTTTTAATTGGATCTATTTATGCTTGTTTGTCTGGTGGTAGTAGGGGGAATATACTTCTGTGTTTGTTTGGGATGGTACTATTATACGCATAGACACATACATAGTCACAACTCATATCCATACAACTTATTATGTCAGCTCTATCACTTATATTGAGTGCTTTCCACTAAGTAAATGGTCTATTTATAACCTGACGCTTCCTTCGTAGCTAAACTGGTATAGCATGCCAGGCTATATGACGGTTCCATGTAGAATACAGGTTTGATTCCTGTTAGAGGATGCACATTTTCAATGAAATTTCTCAGACATTCAGGCTTCCTAAATGTTGTTAATACTGTTTATTATAAACAGAGCATTTACTTAAATATCTGTATCTCTATAAATAACATATAACAGTAAAATATATCAAAATATATCGTATATTTAGATGTAGTAGGCTAATGAGATATAAAAAAACAAAAATAATAATATTGATAAGACTAATAATATTTATTGTATATGTGTGTGCGTGTCTTGAAAATACCCATTTTTAATATCTTTCTCATGCTTCCATTTAGTCTAAAGGTCTACTAATATATATATATAATGTGTTCATGTGGAATTGGAGAGAGACCCTCTCATAAGCTATATGTTGCCCATTTTTATCTCCTTCTACACACCCAGATAGAGAGAACTTATGTAAAATGTGTGTATAAGAGTTCACAACATTCATATTGACCTTTTCAATATGACTTAATCAAATTATTCACAACTTTCCCCTCTGCTCCCTCACTTACCCTTTTTTTCTTTCCAGTTACATTTTTAAAGGCAACAAGGAAACATAATAGAATTTTGTATCCACATTTTGCCATATGATTGGCAGTTTTCCTAACTGAATTATCTCCCCTGTGTTCAATAATGCAGCCACACATGAAGCTCAGCATGGAGGCAACTGGCCACATTCTTTGTTGTGTCTCGCTCATCTAATCAGTATCTTAGATATTCTTTACTGCACCCTGCTGGAACCGATGTATCTTTTTTAGATGCAGCAATCTCGCTTGATTATCATGCAACAAGGTCTATTGCTTCCATTACTTCCCCTGCAGAAAGATTTTAATTTTCCTTTACTCTCTCCAGATATAGTTCAACAATACTAGCACTTTTACATCTTATGTCCCTTCAGAGATGTAGGTGATTATGGCTCTTCACAACTTCCTATCCTTTATGACTCTGAGTAATGTTTGTGCCCTTACCATACCTCCCAGTTCATCTTCTGCCATCCATTTACGCAAGCACATGAAGTAGGTTTCACTCTATTCTTTTTGCATTCAATATGTTCAATGAGTTTAAAATTCTTTAAGCCCTTTTAACTCATGTGTCCAAGAAATTTCAGCTATCTCTTTTCTGAAATGTCCTTTTTGTTGCCATTTTCCTTGAAACTTCCTCATTGATCACATGTATCATCCATGGTATTCTCCACTTCATCTGTGAGAAAATTACCCAAAAATTACATAAAAATTGACTACTTTTATCTTTTTTTTGAATTTATTTTTTCCTGTTTCTTAATACTTGTTTTATTTCTGGAAGGCATCTTTCTGCTATCCCAATCAGTCTTCAGATTCCCATGTCATATTTATCACTTTATAACACTTCCTAGATAATTAACTTCTGTCCTTGTTTGATTTGATCACACCGAGTTTTCAGTTAACCTGGTGAATATTCACAAGTGTCTCTTAAATTTAAAAATTTTGTTAAACTAACAACATTTTTACTCTTGCTTATAAATACCTGTTGTAAAATAGAATTTTCACTGCTCTTCTGGATACTTTTTGGTTACAGCCAAAACAAAATCTGCTTGGAATTCTGACTAATACTTCTGAAATTAGTACAGGCATTACTTTTTGACTGACCCTGTTAGCTTTAATCCTCAAAGTAAATGAAAATATTGACGTATTTCTTCAAAAATCCAATATGTGATACCAAACATCTCTGATATCTGTGCTACATAAACTGCTATATCTATAATATTAGGATGAATCAAAAATGTTTTCATTTGTAATCAATTTGAAGCTCCCAAGATGCCCTGTATGTATTTTGAAACTTAAATGATGTTGTACATATGCTATCTTTTGATGATCTGATCTCTTAAAGTTTTCAACTGCTAGTGGTCTGCAATTTAAAACATCATAAGATATAATTGATGATCATCCATCTTTAGTCGCCATTCTTAAAAACCACATTGGGACACAATAGTCAGATATTGTTCCATATCCTTCCATTACCCAAATTCTGTGAGCATCTTTGAGGTTCAGTTTAAAATAATACCATAAAATTTTCAGAATCTCAATATTGGCATTCACTCTTATCAATTCTGAGAAAAAAAAAGGTACAACTGAATAGTATTAATGATGATAAACGTTTTTGAAAACACCACAATATATAAAAGACTCAGTAATGAAAAGTATTCTAAGAAATGTCTTACATGTAGAGCTGCTTTTCCTCATAAATGATGTGAGAAAAATCTTGAAAATGTCAATCAGAAAGAATTTACCATATCTACGTGAAACAATTACAAATGACCTGCGCAAGAATCTTCAGCAGTTCAGTTCTGGCAATCGCCATTTTGCCAACCTGTTTCTTCATTCACAGATTCATTTGATGTTTTTTTCTATTTCTTTTTTTTAACTCCAAGAGTCGGTGTTGCAAATTGTTTTTGCCAAGCAGATCATGTCAGCACAAGAATCGAATAGAATTAAAATTCATCACCATTCCCTAGCATCTTTCTGACAACCATGTGTAATTCTTTGAATGTCAGGTTTTGTATCTATTCTTTTAGAGAATGGCATTTTTTTTTTTTTTCTTCTTCTTGCTGCCTATGTAGGTTTCATGGCTCCTTTTACAAAGATGTTATTTTTCTACTGAAAAAATTGAAATTCCACTGGTAAATCCAAGCATTAGAGTTTAACCAAATCTTTTCTGTGATGCACCTATTTAACATGCTTGTAAAATCTATAATGTACATGAATATCTGTGGTTTACTTCTTTTATAGCTATCAATGATTTAAAATGTTTCATTTTATGTTTTTTGTGGAAGAGATACTTTTTTTATCCTATTATATTTTGAAGAGATATCAAAAAGCTTAAATTAGTACTTTTAATACTATACATATACACACACAAACATATGTATGGTTACTAAATGCATTTTGTCCCAAATCCTGTTATTGGGCATAGTCATGAAGATGTCATAAATGAAGCTCATGGTAATAACAGCAACTCAAATAGATATGAAAATAGTAAAATAATTAGTCATTTGGAAAGTGAAATACATATACTGTAAGTTGAAAGATATAGATACAAATAAATGAATATGAGCACTGGTAAAAAAAAAACTGTTGCTGAAGACATTAGGTTTTTAATACCCAGAAATTCATACACAGATGTCCTCAAGAACACATGACACAGTGGATAAAGACGTTAGTTAGATCCAAACCTAAAAGAGTGCGAGTTCAATACCTGGCTAAGTCAGTGGAGAACTTGGAGAGGGGAATTAACAGGAGATAACTGATAACTGACATCCATTAAACATGGCACGGTCTACACCAGTGAGTGAAATAAAGGGTTCAGTTCGACATTCCAACCACCTGAAGAAGGCCAGAGTGTACAACAGCCAAAAAGTTGTAATAAATATGGCAACACAGATGAGGTCAATAGTCCAAATAATGTAAATAGTGTACAAATAAGTGAATATATAAAACATTTATGTCATA